CCGATCAGGGCTGAGAGAGCAGACAGAGTGGGATTTTTTTGGTGATAAATGGTGGCCTGGTGGCTGGGGGTGTGCCTGTCTCTCACAGATTGTCTGTGGGAGTGTGCTGGGGTGCTCAGCTTCATCTGTGCCCTGCCAGGAGGGTGGAAGGTGAGGAGGGGAAGTCTGGAAGCACACTGCTGGGAGTATCCAGGCGTGGAGTGTGGTGTACGTGGAGCTGCTGGAGGCACACTGTCAAATTTTGCATTTTTCTTAATGCAGAACCTGCTACTGGAAGCTCATGGTATTCACGTCAGGTGCAGCACAGACTTTTTTTTTTTCTTGTTAGCATTAAACATACTCTTTTGATGAGGTTACTCTCTTATTTACATTACCACCTCTCTTCCTCCCCAGCCTAATGAGCTTTGTGCTACTTCTCACAAGCTGAATCCGTGTTCTTGCTATTAGTGGGAAGGACCACTGGACCATGCTGTCTGCACTCTTTGTTCAAAGCAGGATCAAAATTAATGGGAGAATTGTGTACGTGGCAATCCTGAGAACCCAAAAAGCCACCGTGCCTCACCCGCTGGGGGCAGCAAATTAGGTAACAGAGCAGCTTGCTTCAAAATCCAGGGATAAAGAATTCCTGAGGCAGGCATGGCGAGGAGGAGAGATGAAATACCACAAAGTGTCATTGATTCACAGCCAGGGCCGGGCACTTTGTGCGAAATGGAGCTGTGTGTGAGTCCAGCCAGCTCTGCTGCCCCTGTGACAGCTGTGCCTTGCTTGGGAGGGTTTTGGGATCAAAAGCAGGCGCCTGTCACTCGTGGTGGTTTGTTCCAGCTCTTGGACTTCTGCTGACATCCCTCTGAAGGGCTGCTGAAGGTTGTCTGAGCAGTGCCTTGGAAGTGACTCCTCAGTGTTCATGACCTGGCAAAGCCAAGGTGTTGGAGCTGGAGGGGAGGAAGGAGAAAGGGAGGTGATTGTTTCTGACCCAGAGCAGGAATTCCCTGGTGCTGGGAGCACCTGGGGGTGTGTGGCACCAGCTGTCCTGGGTTAGCATCTCAGAGCTCGTGTCCTGTGGCAAGAGAGCCTTCACAGGGAGCTGCTGCTGCCTGCTCGAGGCAGCCTGGGAGTGAAGGTGTTGGGCACAGAGCTGGGAAAGAGAACTGCTGCTTTCTGGGACGGTGAGGAGTCAGATGTTAGGAAGATTTAGGTGGGATATTAGGAAGGAATTGTTCCCTGGGAGGGTGGGCAGGCCCTGGCACAGGGTGCCCAGAGCAGCTGGGGCTGCCCCTGGATCCCTGGCAGTGCCCAAGGCCAGGCTGGACAGGGCTGGGAGCAGCCTGGGACAGTGGAAGGTGTCCCTGCCATGGCAGGGGGTGGAAATGGATGGGCTTTAAAGTGCTTTCCAACCCAAATCATGGTGGGGTTCTGTGTCTTGTAGGATTTCTCTCAGCCCTGAGCCCCTCAGAAGGTGTTTGTCCCTGGAGAGGAGTGGGAGTGTGTCCCACAGTGTTTGTTCATGGGATGGGAGGGTTTCCACTGTGAGGCCATGTCAGGGAATCCACCTCTAATGCATCATCAGTGCCTTTGGACAAACTGCCTGCAAAGCAAAGAAGGAACAGACCCAGTGGCCAAGGGCAGGAGAAGAGGAAGAACAAAAGAACAAGCTTTTCTCCCATGACTCCTGTTCCACCTGTGATAGCAGAAAGGATGAACAGCTCCAGGGCAAGTGGGAGATGTGCTACTGACCACCATGGCAGCAAGGACTACAGCCAGCAGGACCAAAAAGCAACTCTGGGCAGCAGCAGCAGCATCACTCAGCAAAGGGAGGGTTTCTCTCCAGGTATTGATCAGCAGTTTGCAACAAATGCCCAGCATGGAGATAAACACAGGTTCTGTGGTGGTGGAGACCTGGGCCTGAGGCCACGGGGAGCTCTGCAATAACTCAGCTGTCTCTCCTGCTGCCCAGTGGAGCAGGTGAGGCTGACCCACTCCAGCCTGGTGACTGCAGCTGCTCTGCCTTCTTAAGCAGGTAACTGAGGGTTTATGTGACTGGCAGGTGCCTTAAATCAGCTGAGGGGCTGCAGAGGGTCTCACCCCAATAGCTCCTTGGAAATTCAGCCTGGCTGTTGTGGCCAAATCCTGGAGAAGTGTGGTATTGAAAAGCACAGGCAGTTTTGGGCACCCTCCTAGTGCCCCTGGAGCTCTCCTGTGCACAGGGGGGGCTGCTGTGAGGGGGAAGGAGTGAGACACCTGCTTGTCTCACCCATCTCAGCAAAACTTGGGATCAGAATTGTTGTGTCTGGAGCTCAGGTGTGGACTGCAGCAGCACGCTCCCCTTTTGATTAGTGGTGCACAGCTTTTATTAATTAATGCTGTAAAATACCTGCTACGAACCAGAAAAATCTCACTGTAGGTGCTGTGGTTCTGGGGCATGTTTTAGGTGTTCATTGCCAGAAGGAGGGAGGAGTTGGGGAGAAGGTTTTTTTCTGTCTTTTTAGCACCATCTTCTGATAAAATTTGAGGGACAACCTGAAATATACTCCAGGTTTATCTAAAAGATACTAGATTGACTTTTATTTCATTTGCTTCCACTTAGAGTGCTGGGAGATTTTGCTGTGCTTTAGTGAATGGAATTGTGGTTTTTCCTTACAGAGCTTCAGAAAGGGTATTTTAGAGCTCGTGGGAAACCAGCAAAGTGGGGAATGGGCCAGGATCTGTCTTTGCTGGCAGTGAGCAAGGTGCAAAACCCACCTGTCTTACTTTCCAAGCCTCTGTAGCAAGCAATCAAGTCTGCCATGTCAACAAAACCCACGAAGACCTCTGCTTTCTGCTGAGGCAGAAAGATAATTTGTGGCTCAGGCATGACTGAGATGTTAGGTGCCAAAATTATGACCACTCTGTCAGATTGGCTGGATAATTTTTACTCCTAAGCCTTCCACCAAGATGATTTTCAGTGCTTAGAAATTAGTCTTACTCTGCAGAGCTGTCAGTGTCTCCCAGCTGTGTCAGTGTGTGCTCTAACAAATGTGTGTACATGTGATAGAGCTGTTTCCTCATCATTCCCTGCACTCCTCCAGACACCTGGGAAGCTTATCTTAAGTGCAGTTCTCCTCTCCCAGGGGTCACTTTTGTAAATTTGTTTTCTGGTTTGTTTTCCAGTAGTGTAGAAAACTTCTATAACAGGCTGCTTGTTGTGTGGGGTTGTTGTTTGTTTTTTTTTTCCTAGGCTGTGTAGCCACACAGGGAAAAAGATTTTATGTTTTGAGTAGATTATGCTTGAAATTGATGTGGGGGAGGTTTCTTTGTGGAGGTAGGGAGCTGAAGCAAGGAGAAATTGAGACCTCAGAGTGTTTAAGACTCAATTCTGAGTAAAACTTTGTGTCCTCAAAGAGGGGCTGTGCTGAGGTCTCTTGCCAGGTCTGCAAGGGGAGTAGATCCCCTTGCAGAAGAGGAGCAGCAGATCCTTGGGGAAAGGAGCATCCCTTTGCTGACCTCTCCCAGCACTGACCCAGATCCACAATCATGGATTGGGGCTCCATGGATCCATGGTCACTGGTCCTCCCTGAGGCCCCCTGGCCCTGTAACAACACCTCTCCTCCTAGCAGGAGGTGGGAGGTGCACAGAATCCACCTGGAAGAGTTTTTGCCTTTGTTCCTGGTGGTGAAGGTGAGCTGTGAGCCTACAGTTGCCTCATCCTTTTGGCTCTGCTTCCCGACTGATTTGGGTTCTATTATTAGCAGCTGATGTGCTGCTGGAGTCACTCTCCTCCTACCTCTGCTAATTAATCAATGTGCCCCGTGACAGCCCTTGACCATTAAATAATATTCATTAGTATCCAGACCCCAACAGTGTGGATGAACACATCTATCTTCATTAGCTCTTGGATTTCAGCATCAGGAGCAGGAGCCAAAAGGGACAGTGAAAGGGCACTTTTCTTCCTCATCCCAGTGAAAACTGACCTTGATGGTATTTCTCTTTCTTCCCCTCCCTGCCCCTTGTGTGGTGGTTAAAGGAGAAGGTGGGCAGGAGCTTCAGCTCCTCTCCTCATCCCAAGTGGCCATCCTTGGGGAAAAAGGAGACAGGATGCTCTTTAAAGGTGCTAAATAATGTATGATTATTTGTAAGGAATCCAAGAACGTCTCTTGGGCCACGAAGGAGGGAAGGTGAAGATGAATATTTATGCATGTCCCAATTACCCTCCTCCCCCTGACAATTAGCTTGGCCAGTGGTGGAGCCACATCTGCACACAGGTGCCCCTAAATTGTCCAAAGCTGTCTGCACAACCCCAAAACCAGGGAGGAGGAGTTACACTTTTTGGAAGTGTTTCCTGACCCGGGCAAACACCTGGTGTTCTCCTGGGAAGCCATGGCTCACCCTTGCTCCCCAAAACAAGAGGGAATTGCTGTCCTTGCTCATCTGTGAGATTATTTCCTGAATGTTCCCACAACACAGCAAACGCGTTGGGACATTGTGTCATTTCCTTCCTGCCAGGTGAATCTGCCCTGAAGCAATTCCTCTTTTTGTCAGATTAAACGTATTCAAATGGAAGAGCTAAAAGGACTTGGTGAGGCCTCCTGAGATGTTGAGTTTGTCCCCTGCCCTTGAGTTATCCAGCGTGATCCTCCAATCCCCATGGATGTCCTGGGAGTGGTGGATTTGTCTCCTGGTCTCAATCCCATGCATGACCCAGGGAGAGATTGTGCAGTGGATAATTTCCCTCTGTCTCTCAGACCTTTTTTTTTGCTCCCTGTGGCTGTTGGAGATGAACAAAAAATGATATTTTTGCTCCTTGCAGGCTGCTGTACTCAGACTTTCCCATGCATGACCCAGGGAGGGATTGTGCAGTGGATAATTTCTCTCTGTCTCTCAGACCTTTTTTTTGCTCCCTGTGGCTGTTGGAGATGAACAAAAAATGATACTTTTGCTCCTTGCAGGCTGCTGTACTCAGACTTGCTTTCTGGTCTTCCAGCAGCATTCCTGGAATTATTTTTTTTCCCCCATCCTCCTGTAGATCTTAATTTGAATCCACCTCTGTTGATGCAGCTCTGCTGAGAAGATGAAAATCAGTCGTTTTCCTGGAGCTACCGCTGTAAGTTATTTATACAGTGATTAGTTAAAGCTTCAGATATTTAATGCAACCTTTAAATCACGTATCCACCAACAGCAATTGGTCACATAAAACTTCATTGAGTGGTATCTATCACTTACTGTTTTTCTCAATAAGTGCATATATTTAATTTTCCACAGACCTCTCGCTGATATTTTCTGCTGAGGAGCCAGTAAATCGAGGGGCTTCATAAAGTGTTTTGTTGCATGGCTCTGAGTGAATTACTTGTAAAGGGAGCATGGAATATAAAAATTCATCTTGCAAGGAAGTTGCCCTGTTGGATTAATCCCATCTCTATGTTAAAACAGGCTGAAGCCTAAAAATTAAATGTATTTTCACAAGATGAGTAGTTAGTAAAGGCTCTTCCACCCAACCAGCTTTGAATATTCAGCCTTGTTGGTTCTGCTTCTGTTTTTTTCCTCTTCTGCCTCAGCTTGTGGGACAACAGCTGCTTTGTGCCAGGGGTTCAGAACTGTACCTGTAAACATTTGAATTCAAAGATATGGTCAAAATTTCATGGTGTAAAGCCAGCTCAAAAAGCCAAGTTCTTAGGCTTAGCAGAGGAAATGGAACTTGAAAGTAGCATAGGTAGAAAATGTAAAGCTGAAGTCTAATGAACTTTATTTTTGGAAGAAATAGGAATTAAAATTAACAAGAAGAGAATATTGCAGCTGGGGAAGCTGGGCTGAGCCCAGACCAGCACAGACCCCTGAAGTGAAGCATTTGGGCACCTTATCTCCCACCCTGGGTGTGTGGAACTGCTCCACCAGGGTCTGTCCATGACCTCAGCTGGACCTGGCACTGGGTAGGTTGAGTGACGCAACCTACAGACTCAATTTGCATCTTGGACTCAGATTTGGGATTTCTCTCATCCTGGAAGCAAATTTACCACTCGTTTCTGTGGCAAATATACGTCAGGCAGGGTTAGCTGCTGCTGCTGCTACAGCAAAGGCCTCTGTCTTAGCCTGTGCTGTAATTAGGTCATTAATTAAATACTCTCTAAATATTTCCTTTTCCCATTTTTTGAAGCAAGGATGGATCCACAGTCCCTTTGGATGTGCTTGGTGGGCTGAAAACAGCAACAGAGTGGCAGGTCAAGGTGATGGGGAGTCCTTCCTGTGCCTTCCCACACAGCTGTGAGTACTTCACTGAAAATCTCATTACAAACAGGGCCTTGACCTCTTTCTAACTGCAGCTAAAAGCAGTGTAGCCCCTTCCCAGCATTGCTATGGCACGAGGAAAGGGGGGAAAAAATGTCCACAGACTTCAGAGGATCTTTTCCAGGTGTGAGGGAGCTCCTGCTGTATGTGAAGTTCAGAGCCAAAGACTATCTCAATACATCGTATTTAACTTTGTCCAATTCCCTTCCCATTTTCTGCAGTGATAAAATCCCTATTGCTCTTTCATCTCTCCCCTTTTCCTCCCAAGTAGGTTCTGTGAAAGTGATGTTTGGGGGCAGTAAATCACAAAATGGAAGCCTCCGTTCATAAAATGCTTTATGCCTCCCTCCATCAATATTTCAACGTGCAACACAGACACCAACATTTCATTTTAATTACGCTGCAAGTTTCCTGGCTGAGGGAGAAAGCTGAACTCTGCCAGGCAGCCCAGCCCCATCCTCATCCCCTCCTTGCCATGGGATCCCTGCAACATCCAATTATTTGTGGGTTTTGTTCACCTGGGTCACGGGGCTGTGTGAATTCCAGCTGGGCTGAGCCTGGCCTGGCTCCTTCTTTCCTTGCCCTGGGGTGAGAGGAGCTCTTGGATGTGTCTGTGGGAGCTGGTGCCTTGCCTGGAGCCCTCCAGCAGGCAGGGAGGGCGATCCAGCACAGACAGAAGGTTTGGGAGGACAGGCTCTGACAGTGATCAGAGGCAAGGGAAAGGCTCCCCTGCTACAGCAAGCATCCCATTGTAAAAATTATCCTTCCTCAGGCTGCTTCACTTGCAAGGACTCTTCTGCTTCTCCTCTGCTGTGAAATGCTTGATCCAGCACAGCAAGACATTTGCCTTATTTGCAAGGAACAGGGCACACCAAGTATATATAGTTCTGGGGATCTGGATGGAGAAGTTTTGTGTGCTCAAAAAATTAGAAATAATTTGCTGGACAAAGGGGGACAGCACTGCCCAGCTTGGAAGGAATGGCTTTTTTTGGAAGGATCAAGGGAGGGAAAATGGCACCAAGCCACTGATAAAAATTGATGAGGAGGGCAAAGCATGTGCAGGCTTCCAAGCAATGAGTAAGCACCATGACATCAAGGAAAGGTTTTGTCAGTGGGATGAAGAATTAAACAAGGTAGATGCATTGTGCAGCTGAGGGAAAGGAACCAGCAACTGGGAGAAGCTGAACCCTCTTTCAGGTCTTCCCTTTTATAGAATAATGGCATGGTTTGGGTCAGAAGGGACCTTAAAGCTCACCCAGTTCCACCTCCTGCCATGGGCAGGGACACCTCCCACTGTCCCAGGCTGCTCCAGCCTGGCCTTGGGCACTGCCAGGGATCCAGGGGCAGCCACAGCTGCTCTGGGCACCCTGTGCCAGGGCCTCTCCACCCTCATGGGGAACAATTTCTTTCTAATATCCCACCTAAACCTCTCTCTGTCAGTTTAAAACCATTGCCCCTCATCCTGTCACTATCAGCCCATGTAGAAAGCCACTCTCCCTCTTTTTACACACCCACATTTAGGCATAGGAAAGGGCTCTCAGGTCTCCCTGGAGGCTTCTCCAGGCTGAACAGCCCCAGGTCTCCCAGCGTGTCTTTGTGGCAGCCCTCAGAACATCTTCATGGCCAATACTGCCGTGTCCCTCCCAAAAAACCACAGCAGATATTCCCAATTACAACATTCCCAGGTGTGTGAGGCAGGACGAAAATCCACGTGACAGAACACAGAAGGAAAGGAGGGGGCCCTAACGCAGAGGAAATGTGTCCCTCGTGGTGGTGCTGTTCCATCATTGTCAATTAGCAGGAGAGTTAAATCCCCAGCAGCTGGTGTGGGGTACGGCTGCAGAGAGGGCACCACACTGGATGGCTTGTCAGGGTAATTCGATGTGACAATTGCTGTGCTTGTATGCTGGGGAAGGTGGGGAGAGGGAGCAGTGCCTGTGACACACACAAATGCTAACTGGAAGGGAGGGAGGGAGGCATTCGTTCCTTGTTAGCACACGCAGACGTGAATGCACTGATTTATGTAGCTTCCCAAAGCCTGGCTGCTGCCCACAGAGCCTTCTCAAAACACACATCCAAATTAAGATGCCACGCAGCAGACAAATTGCTCCGTGTGGAAACTTTGTTTGCAAAGTCAACGTTTTTGCAACAGCTTATTTAAAGCCCTAAAATTTATTTTTTTTTATAAAAAAACCCAAAACAATCTGTGTGGGGAAACAAATATCTCTGTGCTGCTGGTATCAAGGCCCAGGACATGGTTTTGAGGCAAGCAGAATGTCACAGCAGTTCAGGCTTTCAGGGACAAGGGTGGGCATCCTTGGATATGGATTCACTAAAATTAATTCAAGTCCAGGCAGCACCAAAGAAATTATTTAACAAACAAATCACCTGCTTGGGAGCAGCAATTTGGGATTTTGGAACAGAGGGCTACCCATTTCAAGCTGAGATGGGGAGTGTGGGATGTGTTATCCTTCACCCAACATCTTATTGCAGCATTTCCTCTGCGAAGGGAAGTGTGAAAAATGAAGTTAAAGCTGTGATCTCTGTATTTTTTTCCTCTCCCTAGGGCTGGTGACTCCCTTTTACTCAGAGCTGCAGCAGACTGGCAGAGGAGCTCTCAGGTGGTTTTATCCATAGGGTAATGGGATTTTTCCTTTTCTCTGTGTGTGTAATGCTCAAGCCATGTTAGGGCAAGAATGGAGTTGTTTTGGAGAACCTGTCCTAGGATCTCCTTGAAGTTCCTCTGAAAGACTTTTCCAGGAATCCTGCTTCTATGAAAATTAATCTGGTTGTAATGACAGAAGATGGGGAGGTAAGGGCAAGGCAAAGGGCCTTGAGAGAAGGCTGATTTACGGAAAAACTGCAACAGCTCAAAAGACAGGTCTTCAGCTGCAAGCCTGGAGAGAGTCATGAGGGCTGGAAGCTGTTAGAAGGATGTGCCGTGGGATCAGAGGCAGGGACAGCACCAAAAAGCATTTCTGAAGAGGTGGGAATGGCAGTCCCAGTTGTTAGCAAGGAATATTTCCTTGCTGGTCTTGAGCTGACACAGACCATCCTAACAACCAGTGGTCTTGAACAGGAGAGTGTAAAAGGAGCTGAAATTTGTCTGTTCTCACAGGAAATGAGGTTTGGGTTGATCTGGAGGAGAAAAGAAGTGTCTGGATGGGCAGAGTTGTTTGCCAGGTGGATTTGCCTCCCTGCATGGTGTAAGTCAGTCTTAAAGAACCTGTGGCTATATGTGTGCAGTCAGCAAGGGTTTTTGGGGTGAGACCTTTTGGTCTGGACCCTAAACAGCAGGACTGTTAGGGAGTAGAAAGGGAAAATGGCAGGTTTGCTGAGTGCTTGCTCCCTCATCACTCTTAGGCACATCCTGGTGCAGCAGGGAAATAAACAGAAGGGATCTGCTTAGGGGAGGTTATGGGTTTGCTATCCTTGGATCGTGTTTGAATACACTCTGTCCAAGAGTTGTTTTGCATTTCACCAGGGAGTCTTTTGTCTAAAGGGCAGAGTGGAGCTGTGCCTGCCCCTGCTTTCTCCAGTGGATATCACATTTCATTACCCTGATGAGCCTGAGCCAGTTCTCCCGGTCGTGTTAATTTGCCCACAAGCCAGCCTGTGTCACGTCCCCAAGAAGCCTGTGACATTTTCCAGCCTCCCCCATCCCTCCCAGTTCTGAAACCTCAAATAATAATGGCAGCCTTGTCCCTTTTTTGACTTCTTGCTTCTGAAACAGAGAGGCAGAGCCACCCCCTTTGCTCAGCAGACAGCCCTGGGCTGGGGGAATGTGGAAGGCACCCCCTCCCAGGGCTCTGTGCTTGTGTCCTGGGGCTGCCAGGGCTCACAGCTGGGGCTTTGCACAGCCTCAGCTTTGGCAGTGTGGAGATCACCAGTGGAACAGAGTGGGGTGGATGGTTTGGCATCGTCCTGACCTTTGGGCTGGTGTGTGTGGAGGAGTAGAGTGCTCCTATGCACTTAAAGCCTTCAGAACTTTTTTCCACTCCCCAAAACATGGGGGCATCCCTAAGGAAATGGTCACATCTCATTGGACAGTTTGGAAATACAGGTGTCTGCTAAGGAAGGCAGGAGCCTCCCCTGGAATAGAAAATGTAAACCCCCTCCCTCTGAATTATTATAACTCTGAAATTAAGGGGCTATCAGACAAAAATATGGGAGCAGGAATAACAGTTCATTATTAGGGAAGAAAATAAAAATTAATAAAAAGTGCAATAATACAAAACAACACTGCCAGAGTCAGAGCAGGAGCTGAGCCCTGTGGGTCAGGGTGGTGGCACAGTCCCATCCCATGGGGGCTCAGCCCTCCTGCAGTGCCAGCTGTGCTTCTGCTGGAGCAGGGATCCTGCACAAGGGGGGAGTTTTCCTCTGGAGCTCCAGGGCTGCTGGAGATGGGCCTGCTCTTCCTCTGGGAATGCAGGGCAGGAGAAAGCTGCTCCTCTGGGAATGCAGTGGGCAAAGGCTGCTGTGCTGTTCCAGGCTCAGATTGGATCCAGGTAGGAATGCTTGGCTCCTCCCCTGGATGGAGCACCTCCCCATGGGATGATGGAATTTATCAGCCATTCAGGGACTCTCACTGGCTATGAACAGCAGATAATTAACAATTAATGGCCCATTAGCAGCAGGTATCTCCTGGAGGGAGGATTGGCTGTGGGAGAGATAAAGAAAACTGCCCCATAAACAGAAGAGAACTGCCCCAGCTCTGACAGATGGTGACAGAACACACACCCCAGCCACATCTTCCAACCTAAGAGAGCAGTAAATGTTTTAAACCTAGGATTTGGATGTTGCTGTTTCCTCCACACCTTGGGTGTGAGGCACTTGCAAGGATTTAAATTTAGCTGCATGAGGGCAGGTGAGAAGTAAACCATGTGTATTTCTGTGGTGCTGCTCCTTTGTTACAGCTCCAGTTTGATCAATTTTTTGCATTATGTTGGTAGTACGGAAGAGTCCAGGCTGTTCTGCAAAATGTTTGTATCCAGAAGCATGAATTGAGGTGGTCAGATGTTGCTATAGGACACGAAATAACACAATGTGCACATGACATGCGGCTCTCCTAAGGTAAAAAACCCACTTTTTAATTTCTGACTCCAACATTTATAGATTTCCAGAAGTGACAGTGGATTGGAGGGTGGCAGTGCCACCTCTCCAATGGCACTGGACAAACAAACAGTCCATCAAAATTCTCCTCCTCCATAAAAGAACGCAAAACAATAAGTTATTTACATAAAGTGTGTGAGAAAGTTCGTTACAAGAATGTAAACATCAGAAGGCTTAGAAAAACTTACAAAATCAAGATGACAGTCAGAGACTGAACAGGCTGCCCAGGGAATGGTCATGGCCCCAAACCTGCCAGAGTTCAAGGAGAATTTGGACAATGCTCTAAGGCACAGGGTAGGATTGGTGGGGTGTCTGTGCAGGGCCAGGAGCTGGACTTGATAATCCTTGTGGGCCTCTTCCAGCTCTGGATATTTTATGATTCTATCAGATGTGCTTCTGCATTTATCACAGAGAATATTAATTCATGCGGTTTTTTTCTTTAAATAATGAAACTTCTGCTTTACCTAATGATACATGATGATGATTTTGCTGTTCTACAAGGCTGAAGCTGAGCCATTGAAAAATCATTGGTGCTTGAATCATCCTAACCTTAAGGACAGGTATTAATTTCTCAAGAAATCTAACAGGCTCTAACAGGACAGAGAAAATTAGCTCCTGATTATTGGTAATTTTGAGACAGATGAAGGAGCACTCTTTTAAAATACTTCTGTGCTTATTTCCCTCATCCAAGCATCCCAAGAAGGCAGTTAAACACCCTGCAAGGCTGCAGCCGTTCCTCCTGCTCTCCATTGGTTATGAGGCCTTTAGGATAACCTTGGTTCTCCATATTCAGACTTTTTAGAGGAAAGGTTAATGCATATTGGTCCATAAACCCCACCCTGGAGGCTCTGAGAGGCTTTGTATGGAGCACATGAGAGCCTGGAGCATGTGTGGACAAGAGCACTTCCACGAGGAGAACTGATTGAAAGAGAGCCTCAGGATAAGTGTGTGAAGGGGCCTTTGAAAGGGTTTGGCTGTGACACAAAGCTGCTCCTGGAGAGCTCTTTGGCAGAAGGAAAGAGGCTCTCACAAAGAATTAGTTGTGTGTTGCATCAAAAGATGTGGGGTCAGGGATTGGGGTAAGTGGATCTTATTGTAAATGTATCAAAGGGATCTGGATACAGAGACTGGAGCAGAAGATAATGACGGGGAGGAGTCACCACTAATGAAACATGAGGCTCAAAGCATTTAAAATGTGGTGAAGAAGGTCCAGGAGCTTCTCTCAGCCCTAAACAACCAGGATAGTGAGGCACCAGTGCGTGGGGTACATCCACCCAGGTGGAACTGATGAGGAAGGAGAGGCCAGCGCAGGTGGGAACTTGCAGAGGATGCCTGGATACTCCTGGAGGAAAAGCTGGAATCTGCACAATGTGTGCACAGGTGGTGGGAGATGACTGAATTACAGGGTACAGGTCATAAACAGGCTGTGAAATGTTGCAGGGGCTGAAACAGAGATAGAGATGGGGCTGTTGAGCCATCCACCATCAATGGATCCCACTGACAACTTGGGTGCTGCTGGCCCACCAAAGCAGGGCTCCAGTTTGTACAGAAAAGCCATGCTGAGAAGGGCCAGTGCACAAAGGAGACAGAGGAGTGCTACAACTTAATTTGAATAAGAGGAGAGAGTCTACTGGGGCACATCCCTCTGAGGTCTCTCTCAGTTTCACAGGACTCAGCCTCTTATCCTAAACTCCTGGCTGCTCTCTTCCTTTCCCCTTTGGCTGAGGTAGGAGGAAGGTGCAGCCTTTCTGAACTGCCCATCACATGTTCACTCCCTTGAACATGTTATTTCCCCCCAAAATTAAAAGTTCTGGCTGTCTGTGCTCTGCAATTGGCTTGTGCAGGCCCATTTCTCCTATGACCCTAAAATTCAGGGGTCAGACTGGGTTCTGTAACAAACCCGAGGGGCTTGAGGTCGGTACTGGCACAAAACCCATTTTGAAGACATTAGCACCCATTTCTCCTAAAGACTCTCACCCACTGGGTTGTTTGCTAGGACATCAGCACCCATCTTTCAAATTCAGCCTCCAACCTCCAGGTCAGAACCACGTGTGATGCTTTAAAGGTTTTAGATGTCCTCTAGCAAAGCCAGCCAGGAGGACATGGTAACTGAGGAGGATTTTTAGGGTATCCTGATCTCAGCCTCCTTCTGAGGTGTTTGCTTCTCCCTCCAGGAGCCTGCAACCCCAACCTCACCAGCTGCTGAACCTCTGGGGACATCAGCATTCCTTCCTGGGACAACACAGGACCTACCTCACCCTAAGCAGAGACAGATGATCTCCAAGTGCTCCATGCCTTCCCAGAAGCTGCTGTGGGGAGTGATTTCTAATCCAAAGAGAATTTCTTCCTCCCAGCATCCCTCAGAGACATTTTCCTTTGCCCCAAAAGGCTTCCTGCTGTGTTGAGTCATGCTCGAAGCGGTGCTTGTTAAATAAGTGCCGCTGAGCTCTGCTTTAAACAAACGAAGTTGATTTACCAGGGCTGTAGGATGGCCAGGTAGCTAAGGTGTTATTTAAGAGTATTGGCACTTGGAAGGCCGAGTGCTAAAAGCACTTCATTTTTATTTCAGCTCTTAATTGAAAATCAGCTGGTTTGTCTTGTTCTCCTCCCCTGCTCCCATCCCCACGCCGGGATAAGGGCTGTTAACACCACACAGCGTGTTTGTCAAAAAGTGGCACCAGCCCAGGCTTTCACTTGTGGTTTATTAGTTTAATTACCCAGGGTCTTGCAAAGACTTCTCGGCGAGGCAGAAATGAGAGAATCTAATGTTTCTTGGGCTGGATCCTTACATCACGTGAAGCCACCTGGTGAAGGCACCGAGGTAAAAACGTGGCTCCTGTGATTAACCTTGACTGAATTCAATAATACCTCGGAGTCACATTATTGCTGACCTTGTGCTTTGCTACCTTCTCATCTTTCTAATTTGTCTTTTCTTCCTGCCTTTGCAATAACAGGCAGAAGTGTTAAAAAATAAAACCCTCCTGGCTGCCTCGTGGGAAAGAGCTCTTCTGCTTGCAATGATTTTTAAATTTTCTTTTTTTACTTTTGGTATGTTTCTTGCTATTTGTGTTTTTCTGACATTTGTGCACACAAACACTTGCATGAGAATAGCTACTCAAGAGCTGTTTGGAGGTGTCCTTGTGATTTTTTAAAAAAATGAATTTGTGTGATGGTGTGCTGAATACTGCCAGCCATCAAGATAATTCAGCATTTGTTCACACTACAAGAAGTTCTTCCTATGTGCCATTTTAGGAGATGGTCCTGACATTTTTTGTAACAAAGGCAGGGTTGAAGAAGCTGGGATGTCCACAAAGACAAGTCCAGATGCTTCCTGAGCTTCTTTAGAGTGATTTGCTATTCTTTGTGGGTGTTTTGGTGATTTTTTTGTAGTTGTTGTGCTTTTTTTGTTGATTTTTTTTTTGGGGGGGGGTTGTTTGGCTTTTCTTTGATCAACCAGACCAGAGCACCGAGTGCCACAAGCTGTTTGTTGAACACCTCCGCCACCTTGCTGGGCAGCCCCTTCCATTTTTTAACAACTTTTTCTGTGAAGAAATTCTCCCTGATATCCAGCCTGAACCTCCCCTGGCACAGCTTGAGGCCAGATTCCTCTTCTTTGCTAGGAATTCTGGAGCAGAAATGTTGACTCCAAGACCTAAGTTAGTAAAATGCTTGGAAAATACCTTGCTCATCCCAACATCCAGCATTAGGAGCAACCTCTCTTCACGAGACTTTCACCCAGAAACTCCAGCAAGTGTAAAATTTGGCAAACACATCCTTCTGGCTATTTTTTTTTGTTTATTTTGTTTATTCTGAAGCATGTTGAATTGCCAGCTCTCCTCTTTACTCCATGGTGTAATTGAAGATGCTGGTTGGAGGTGCAGCATCCTTAGGTCGAGTTGCTGGCTACCCAAAACATTTTATCTTGGTGGGATTGGTAGTCTGGTGGATTTATTGAGGATTATCTGCTCTAGAAGGAGATTTAATCTCTCAGCTGACCTGGGTGGTGCATCACAAGTTCCAGCCATTTCTCTGAGACTTTGGGAAAAAGGTGCTTACCAGATGGGATGTTTATTTTTCATTAAGAGTGGGTTTACCCAAGAATGTATCAATACAGAATTTTCTCTTTGCAGGTCAAGAGGAAATCTGCATGTGTTTTTAGAAACACAGACAGCGAAACCATTAAATTAATTTGTATTTGCTTTAATAAAAGTGCTTCTTTCCTTTAGAGAATGATAATGGCACTAGATTAGTGCATCCAGGAGTACCATTGTGAGTGGCAGCTGGAGAATGAGAGCTTGATGGGATCTGAAATGAAAGAAAAATGTTTGCAATCAGTTTTGTGCTTCGTTCTCCTCTTATCCCGGTTACCTGAGATGTTCAACACATAATTCTACAATTATGTGATGTGGTTTTTTTTTTATTTTTAAGGCAAGGTATTCTGTAAGAAACTCTCAAGATGCTATTTTCATGCAAATAGCTTTGTGTGCTAAATTGAGGAACTTAAGAACCACAGAAAATAGAGGAAATGTGGGCAGAATGCATTCGAAATGTAAAAGTTTCCTGCGAGTTGTCAACAGCTCTTTAAGAAGTCTGCTGCCTGCACCTTTCAGCAGCTTTTCTTTGTGATTGCTGGGTGAAAAAAACCCCAACAATTACTGAAGTGAAAAGATTGTGAGTAGCTTGTTGCGCTGAGGAACAGCTCTGGAGAGCGACAAAGGAACGATGTTCTGCACTTCGCTTTGTGGCTTTGGCAAAAACCAGCCGACAACAAAGCCCCACTCCTTTTGCTATTTCCCACATTCCAAGTAAGAGGATGCCCAGGTTTTTGATGGCTTTTCCTTAAGGTTTCTCTGGCACCTTCTAGGACGTGTCCTTGTGTCTGCGCCTCTCCTGCAGCAGCGATGGCAGTGGAAGAAATCCGAATTTCCCCGTGGGAGGATCTTTGTGGCTGGCACAGAGGATGAGTGCACCAGCCGTGATTCCCCAGGGCCAGAAGCATCCTCTTGACATGGATTGGGGGAGGAATAAAGTGAGTGGCTGTTCCCCCCCTGCAAAGATGAGCGCTGTCTCCTCCACTGCTGCCGATGATTGAGGAAAACAATCACGCTCTGACAACACCCATTGACGTCTCCAAATGAAAAAGGAGTGAAGAACAGATTCTGGAGTCTCTCCATTGATGAGAATGGATTTCCCTGGATGGCAGCCTTTTTGAAAGTCCAATTATGTGTACGTGTATATGTGTGTGTATATATATATATATATACACACACACATATATATACACAAAAAATGTATATTTTTTTTCTATAATAAATAATATTATAAATTATATACTTTATAATATATAGAATATATGATTATATATACTATATTATAATATATAATATATAGTTTAATATATAATATATAGTTATATATTATAATATCATTATTATAGGTAATATATAACATGATTATAAGATACAATATTTTATTTTAATTATTATATTAGATACAATATATATTATATGTAATATAATGCTATTATTATATGTTCTTAAATTATGATATATAATATATAGAATGATATTGTGTATATAATGATATATACAATTATGCATAACATATAATATTATATTATATATAATATGAAATATATATATAATACATTATCTCTTATACTGTATATGGTATATATTATATATAACACTATAAAAGACCATGTATATAAAATATCACAATATATTATGATATATATTATTTATTTACTTATTTGAAATGCTGCCTAGAACAGGCAATCCCGTCAGAGGAGTTCAGGGGGTAATCTGGGGCACAAAAACTACTTTATACACGCATTCATGAGCCCACTGAAAGGCAAACAAGAAAAAGGCCTGAGTGAGTGAGGACAAAGAGGGGAAGGGCAGCTGGGTTAATGCTGATAAATGAATATTTGACGTTTAAGTTCAACTTCCATTTGCTTGCAAATGAAAACAATTCTGTCAACACTGCAGGAGATGGGCTGTGCAGTTTTTTTATTTATCTTTTCCCCTTCAGAGGTTAATTCTTTGATTTAGAAGGTAAAAAGAAAGGGAGAAACGTTGACTTTAAATGATAGGCAAACACACATATCCTCAGCACAGCCCTGCTCCAGCAGCTGGAGGTGTCTGGGATACCTGGGCAGGGAAGGAAGAGCCTGCCAGACAGGTTTCCTAGAGGAATTTTCTGCTCCTTGTGATGCTCGCTTCCAGCCCCGAGGTTAAAACCAGGATGTTTACAGCCTCATCTTTTTATAGGCAGCATGTGATAGGTAATTTTATGTGAAAAATCTATTTAGTCCCCTGATGGAAGAAGTAAACTTAGGTGAGACTTGTTCTCCCGTGAATTCTTGGCATGCTTATAAAAAACCCCCGTTGCAGCTCTCCAAAATATTAGCTGTAAAACTTGTTCCTTGTTAAAGTTACAATCAGAAGGTGTAATAAAGGGATTATTCAGGCATGCATTACCACGGAATGTTCATCTCCAGGCACTCGGATTTTGACTCTGCAGCAGCACCGTGCTTTGCCTGGTAAATCTCGTGGTGCTGCTGGGGTAGAAAACACAAACCCTGCTTTAAATAATGCATCCCTACCCTGCTGTGCCTCTCTTCTGGTTCAAAGACAGCCCCCCTTTAAAGTTTAATCAGTAGTTTTATCGTTGCTCACAGGCAAAAGGTACCGATCCCAAAAAAACAAAAACAAAAAAAAAACCCCAAAAAACCCTAGGAAAACTGGGATGGAAAAGTTGAAGAGTGGATGGAGCTGCACCTTCTCCTCTGCACCTGCTGGCTTTAATTGATGCTTCATGGTGGTGTGTGCTAATTTGGGAGGGGTGGGCCTGGGAGGGTGGCAGGAGCCTGTTCTGGCTGGCATCCCACCTGTGCCCAGCCCAGCTACCGGGGAAACGAGCTCACAGCAAAGCTGTGCTGGAGCAGAGCAGGGGATAGGGAGCTCCCTTTGGATGGTTGGTTGGATTTATTTCCCCAGGTGTCTCTCTCAGAACAGTTTCTGTCCTTGCAAAAGGCCTTTTGGCTTCTTTTTGTGTTGTCTGTGACCTCCTGAAGCACCACAGGGTGTGGGGCAGGGCTTGTTATGAATAGAAAGTTAGAAAAGGCCTTTTGGCTTTTTGTGTTGTCTGTGACCTCCTGAAGCACCACAGGGTGTGGGGCAGGGCTTGTTATGAATAGAAAGTTATCTATATTAGATCTCCTGCCCCATTTATTTCAGGGCTCAGTGCAGCGATTCAAGCTGGATCTGTTACAAAAGGTGTTGAGAGACCTGAGCTGGTGCTTTCTCAGAATGCCATCAGTGCTGTTGTTTTCCAGAGCAGAGTCCCAGTGATCCCAGCAGAGTGGGAGAGGTCCCTCCTGGGGGAAGGCCCTGGGAAGTCCTGGACTCATGGAATGCTTTGGGTTGGGAGGGACTTTAAAGCTGATCCCATTCCACCCCCTGCCACGGGCAGTGACACCTTCCACTATCCCAGGGTGGGAAGGGATGAAACACAAGCTGCTGGAATCTGCTCTTGGATCCATGCTGGTGCTCCCTGCTGGCTTTTCAAGGGTGTCTAGCAGGAATGGTTTGCCACAGGTTCATGGGGGAAACTCAAGACATCTTATTTTTCATGGGTGCTGTTTTGTCTAGATCCTGCTTAGCCTTTTGTGCTGATTAATCCTGGCTTGGTAGAGGGCACTTCATTATTTCCGTGGGATAATATCAATCTGTTGGTGTTCAGTGTGTCCCTGTGTTATATTATTTATTATATTTGTTATATTATTTATTATATTTGTTATTTTCTTATATTTCTTATATTCCCTATATTTCTTACAGCTACCAATTCTTTCTCTCCAAAACCCCTGCAAGGCCAGTCTGGGGAAAAAAGGCTT